TTTCAACTCGCCTGATGATGGAAACACGGTTTCCGAAAACGTTAGCGCTACGACTGCTAGTGTCCTGCTAGTGTCAAGTCACATAATACCAAACGCATCCATTCTTAATAGGAAAACAATGAAAAATTAATGGGTGCGTTTAATATTATGCAGCATTTACGTGCATTTACGTTCGACACTAGCAGTCGTTGCGTTAGCGAAAATTAACAGCATACATATTTTGTATCAGAATAAGAAAAGTTGAAATAAAATATCATTAAATGATTTTTGACTGATACAGTGTTCCTGTTCATACAAGATTTTTGAAATCATCAGCTTCAGATTGTGTTTAACCCATAAAATTTATTTATAACCAAAAGATCGAACATTGTGTATCGATCACTCGATAGAAAACGGAGTAAATATTTCAAAATAAGAAGGTGTGGTTTTTAAGTCATAACTCTCAACGTAATCTAAAAACGTTTGTTTTATTCATTCGATTTTCAAATCAATTTGAAATCCATAAATAGTGTGGAATTAATTTCTAGTTTCTACTTTTTCATAACGTTGTCGTCTTCACCTTATCGGCTTGCTTTGATTGGAATTGTTCAAGTGCAACTTGTGACAAGCGTTCGAATTCATGTTCTCCGAGGGCTTTGACCATACCATAGAAGATGCCATTTTTATTTTGTAACAAATTGTGCGGTTCATCAAACTCGCTTGCTCTTCCAGAATCCATCACTAAAACACGATCCGAATCGATAATGGTATGCAATCGATGGGCGACAGTTAGAACTGTGCATGCAATGAATTTCTCTCGAATTGTCTGTTGAATTAACAAATCCGTTCTGCAAAAAAGTGAAAAATGTATGAAACGATATTCTTTTCGAATATATTTTGGATAATGCATAAACATACTGTGGATCGACATTGGCCGTTGCCTCATCCAAAACGAGAATTCGATTTTTCCGCAAAATCGCTCGCGCCAAACACAAAAGTTGACGTTGACCCACTGAATAATTGGC